CGTGGATGCGCTGTACAAGTTCCACGGCGCGGAGGTGCCGCTGCGCGGCTGCCCCGTCGAGTGGGCGCACGAGCAGGCCATGCGTAGGGTGGCGGAGCGCTACGAGGCGGTCGTCGACCTCGAGCGGCCGGAGGAGAGCGCGGCTATGGTCGAGGCCGTCACGGGCCTCAAGGCCGACTTTACACGGCGCCTTAACGAGCGCACCGCGAATGCTAGCGGCGAGATGATGCGGGCGCTGCTGGGCGTGCCGACGGAGCATAGGCTCTGCGGCAATAGGCTCGTGCATACGGTGCTGCTGCAGCAGTTTAGCGTGATTAAGGACCGGCTCATGGCCAACTTGTGCTTCGACGAGGAGGCCGGCGATACCGCGCTGTGTGATATGGTCCCGCTTACAAAGGGGGCCATGGTGCGCAGGAGTAGGGCAGAGGCGCAGAGGGAGAGGAAGAGGCTCATGGAGATGGCGGCAGCGGCGTAGAGTGGCGCGCCATGTAGTAGCACGACGTGCTCGGGGCTGTAGGTCCGCTGTCGCTCCGACCGGTATGCGGCGTAGGATACAGATACACACGCTAACTGCCTGCTATTTGTATTTAGTCTACTAGTTAGTGTCTATAGGAGCGTTAGTGCTCATATGAGGAGAAGAGTTATTTTTATTCTTGTAAGATTTTTGCAACTAGAAGCCCATCCCATCACCAGAGGTAGAGCACTCGCTCGTTAATTGTAGCGAAAACGAAATCGTTGACGCACATACAGCTGTTGAAAAGCTGTTGAAAAGACATCATCAAGGGCGATGCAGACGAGATATACGACATGGGCATTGCTTGTTGTAAGTTGGCTAACAGAAAGCATTTTTCTTTAAGCTAACTTTACAGCAGCAGCATAGAGACGTTCCATAGAGTGCTTTCTATTCGGTTTTACCTCTAGAGAAAAAGTTTTAAAGAACAACAGAAACCGTGGACATCAAAGTTGAAAAGAAATAAAATTCGCAGATTTTATGTTATGATAACGCTTGGTCGGGTAGACAACTAGTGTCTACTAGTGTCTATTGGACAATGCGCCTCATTTGAGGATTTCGCCTCATATGAGGCTTTTTTGCCGCGCCGTTTCTGGCGCAAAGAGGGAGAACTGAAAGCCATAGTTACCGCGAAACAGTAACAGTAAGCGTAAAAAACAATGTCCAAGTCCCTTGAAGGCACCTAGAATGCACGGTATTTAGGAGGGTCTTTCTAATGCTCTGACAGACAGGAAAAATCCTCATGATCAAAAACGTCCGTCCAATAGACACTAGACGTTGTTACCAGATGTACTTGATGATGTCACTCACCACTGTCAACAGTTGACGCGTAGAGACACTCTCCGTTAGGAACGGCCCTGAGGGCATTTTAGACGCCACCCTTGGTACAAAACACACCAACCACCCCTGCCACGAGACATCTATGCGACAGCGCCCACCGCACCACACAGCCGCCGCAACTCCGCTGCTGGAGCAGCCCCGCCCCCGCGACGTCCAACCGCCGCACCGCACCCTGTAAAACGCCGCCGCCATTCCCCCCCGCCCGCACCTCGCCTCACCAAAGCCTGCGCCAGGGAGCGCGCGCGCAGCGCCCGGCCTGCGACGCCCCCGTTTACCGTCCGCCGCCGGCAACCGCACGATCGGAAACCGCGCGATCGGAAACCGCCGCATGCCCGCATCCCCGTCTCCCGCCCGCGCGGACACCGCCTGCCCGCCGACCTGGAAACACGCCCCCGCCGCGCGCGCGCCCGCTCATCGTCCTCCGCGTCACGTGCGCGCCGCCGCCCCGCTTGCAGGGAGCCCCCGCCATCCGCTCGCCGCCCCTTTCCGCGCCCCCGCCCTTGCAGTCGCACGTGTACGTCCACACGCCTGGGGGAGGGGAATCATCGCCCCGCCCCGCGCCTCCATCATTCCCCCGATGCATGCGTGCACGCCAACAGGGCTTACATGCCAAATCCGCTCCCATACTGTATCTCGCGCCTCACAGTCGCCAGCCGCCATCCTCCTGCTGTTCACTCACATGAGTAGCCCCGACGTTCCGCGCCTTGATCCCCACTGCCAGGGCGCAACCCCCCCCCCCCCCTTGGGTCGATCCGTATGACACCCACATTTCCACTCCTGCCCGACGAGTCGCAGAACGCAACTAATTCCATCCGGCACCTGTGTCC